TTACAAATTATTTAAAACCTGGAATCACTGACCAGAAATTACACAGTTGGATCATGGGAAAACAGCAGAAGAGGGTTATGAGTGAATCTACACCGTTCTAGCTGCACCCCATGCCCTTCTCAGAAGAAAGCCTGGCATTGATTAGGTATTGGGCCAGACTAATGCTGGCAGCCGAGCCAGTAATAGTAACCTGCCTACCGGAAGAGCCTAGGACCAGGTTGGCAATTTTGATCTGGGCCAAGGACATCTGGCGGATCTCGTTGATGTTGGCGCCCTGGCTCCCGATTATGCAGCCGATTAAGTTATTTGGAATGGTGAGTTCATGGGTGGTTTGAGTAGATGCATCCAAACTTGCCCAATAGCCTTTCACCTTTGGAGAGCTGGAGTCAATTCCAGCGAATCCGGTCCCGCCGTGCATCACGGCAAAGTGAGACTGTTGTCTTGCCGCCTGTTTCAGCTTGGCCAGATCGAGCAGAGAAATGGTGTGTTGTCCTTGAATCGAGTAGGCGTCCAGAGGGGGTCCCTCCAGGTCGTGGGTGGCGTGGGGGTAGCCCGCAGCGTCGCTGCAGCGATCTTGGCCGCCCGCGCAGATGACCGGAGAGCTGGCGGGCGTGGGCTGGTACGGAACGGTCAAGACTCTCCTTGCGGAGACTGGGAGAGCGTCTCCAGCAGGACCAGGCAGATGTGCTTGACACACTCGGTCACAGACTGCGGCACGCCCGCGATGGTGATGGCCCGCTCGGTCGAGTTGGGCAGCACATCCCCCGCCACCCGGCCCTGGCCCGGTGCTCTCGCGGATCTCTTTGATCTGACAGCCGCCTTTCCCAATCAGGGAGCCGCACTGGGTGGCCGGCACCACCAGCCGCAGGGTCACCGGGGGCCGGCTGGCCGCCGTGCTGTTGGTCATGGAGCTGTTGATATCTTCCTCCAGCTTGTCGCTAATCATTGCGAAGCCCTTGAAGATGGCACTGGTGGGGCCGGTCAGAGTGATGATTCTCTCCGGGCGGTTCCCCTCCGAGATGTTGATCCGCGCGCCACTCTCCTCGCGGATTCTCTTAACCGACTCCCCTTTCTTCCCAATGATGCTTCCTACTTCCTTTCCGTGCATAAGAAGCCGAATGGTGAGAGTCACATTTAGTCCACTTTCAGTCACACCGGCATTCATGGCGAGCGGCGGGCGGCGTTCGGGGGAGTTGGGCTCGTTACGTGGTCAAGTCTTTGGTGGCTGGCGGGGGGAGGGAGGTCTAGGCCCCAAACTGCCCGCGCGAGGCGAGCGAGGGTCGCGGGAGCGAGTGGGTGCGGGCGGGCGGGTGGGCGAGGGCGCGGCGGTGGCGACTCTGGTGGCAGCCTTGGCCAAAAGTTTCCTTTAAAAAAAAAAAAGTTTCCTTTATAACATTGACTTCTTGGGAGAAAAAAAAAGTTTCCTTTAATAAATATGCTTGTAATACATGATAATTGCATTCATCTTTATTTGCTTGTTTATTTATTGAGTCTTGCTATGTAGTTCAAGCTGGCCTCAAACTCACTATGTAGGCGTTTCATGGGCCTGCCACACCTTCATCATTTTTACTTTCTCTTTCCACTCTCCCATCTCCCCCCTTCCCATTTTCTTTTTCCCTTTTCTTTCTTTCTTTCTTTCTTTCTTTCTTTCTTTCTTTCTTTCTTTCTTTCTTTCTTTCTGGAGAGGGTATACTGGGACTTGAACTCAGGGCCTTGTGCTTGCCAGGCAGGTGTTGTGCCAGTGAGCTATACCCTCACCCACCCTCACACCCTGTTAGCTTTTTTTTTTTCTCTCGTTCTTGTCGTCTAGGATTTTTTTTTCTTTTGGTGGAACTGGGGATTGAATTAGGCCCTTGTGCTTGCTAGGCAAGAGCTTAATCTATGGAACCATCTCCCTGGCCCCTCGCCTAGGATTTATTTTGCTATTTACGTTATTTATACTTTGGGTTAAATAACTTCTTATCTAAGAGAAATAGTGAGCCTTCCCTGTCGGATTTATTTCACTCAGCGTTGTAGCCTCACGGTGTATGCACTTCCATACAAAGGACTCGCACTTCCATTTCGTGGCCGACATGTGTACACCATGTGCCATGTTCCATGTTTGCTTTCTCCATCCACCTAGTGGCTGCTTCCAGGGTTTACCTACTGTGAGTGGTGCTGCTATAAAGAGCCATCCTATTTTTCTTGATTATAATCGTTTTAAAAAATGTATTTATGTATTTGCTTTAGGGCCTCACTACGTACGTAGCTCAGACTCAGTGATCCTACTACTTCAGGCTCCCCAGCGCTGGGATTACAAGTGTGCACCACCACATCCAGTTTCAGTGGCCCACACCGAGTGCCCAGGGGCGGGGTCAGCACAGCACCTGGTACCTGAAATTGACTCTGGGTCCTTGTGCTTGCTAGGCAGGCGCTTAAGACCGCTGAGCTATCTCCCTTGCCCCTTTTCTTGATTAAAAAAGCAGCACAATGGGGCTGGGGAGATGGCTCAGTAGAATAAGCACTTCCCTGGCAAGCGCAAGGGTGTGAGTTCAATCCCCTGTTCCAAAAAAAAAAAGCAGCACAAGTCCAGTGACTGACACCTGTATGAGGCAGGGTCTCACAGTACAATTCAAACTGATCTTGAACTCACTTTGTAGCTTAGGTTGACATTCAACTCAGTGGTCCTCTGGCCTCAGCCTCTCAAATGCTGGGACTATAGGCCTGAGCCACCACACCTGGCTTTGTTGCTGTCTTGTTTTGTTTGCCTTTTTTTTTTTTGGTGAACCAGGGATTGAACTCAGTTCCTTGCGCTTGCCAGGGAAGCGCTTATTCCACTGAGCCATCTCCCCAGCCCCTTGTTTGTCTTTTTGAGGTAGGTTTGTCTGTTTCTTTTTTGTATTTTTATTCTTTTTTTTTTTTTTT